AGATTGACTGTACGAGTTCTGTGTAATGAAAAATGCTCTCTCCACCCTTACCTATTCCTTTATTGTGTGATCGTTCACTTCTCGCGTAACCGCTGCTTTCTGAATCAAATGCTATGCTTGATCACTATTCTTTTCCTTTTCTATCATATATAAACTTGTGCTCTCTGTGTGACTTGACATATGAAAAAACGAAATAAAAAATTAGAAAATACTATAGTGAGAACTACATAATCTTCACGGATTTTTTCAAGGAAACCATTCAAAGTATGGTGTTACTTTAATTCCTTACCTTACAATTATGAGATGGAGTGCCAAGTAGGAAAGCAATACCATTGAAGTGTCAAGTAAACATTTTAAAACGCACACTGAGAATATTGCAGCTTTAATTTTTTAATTTGATTTTCACTGTTCAAAAGAGGATATTGAAGAAACACTATATAATGTGAAACTAGATCAGTCCAATAATTGACTGAGTAGATGAACACCTTAGTAGATATTGTATCGATTTACACAAAATCAAGGGCTTTTGCTACTTTTTTTCCTCAAGTAAGAAGTGTTTTCACAAGAATATTAGTGTCAACCAATTGATTCTAGATCGCTCAAACACAGCTCCTAAGAAGGCTATTGATCATGAGTCGAGGAATGATATTTGTCAACTTGCAAAACGTCACCAAAAACACCTAAGTAACTGATGGTTCAAAAATTTCTTCAAAGTTGTTTTGAATGATGCTGTAACCGAAAACAATCACAATAGATTATCTTATCTTGATGGTACAGGTATGAATGTGTATGTTGATAGGTATTTTCTCTAAAACTATACCTACACCCACATTCTGGCCAGGTATAGAGGACTATGCTTCACTGATATATACTCAGCATTTGTTTTTTCTTTTTGCAACTTGTAAAGGAGATCAGATCTGCCACGAAAATGATGTCAATTATCACCTGGCAATTTCTCATTCATTTAGCTCTCTCCTTTATGCGCGATAACGAAAAAAAGAAGAAGAAAACGTTCTAAAGCAAATGTTATTCTTTCTCGCTTATCGTTCTCTATAAAAATCAACAGTATTTTTCATTCGTTCTTATTAAAACAACGATCCAAGAACAATGAAATCTTATATCGTCATCACTAATCTTCTTCTTTGGTTGATCATCGCTGTCCACGGCTTGCCGACGACATCATTCTCAGACGAACCTGAACGATGTTGTGTACCAAAACAATTTAGTTCACAAGCCAGCACAACCACTGGTATGATATTGCCAAACGGCGATAAATATGCATCCTATGTAAGTCATCTTTTTTGCCACGGCAAGCAGAAAGTAGAACTGGACAGATTTACTTTGTAGGCCTATTACAATTTTTCCTACGATTACGATCGAGGTATGATTGGTATGCGAGGCATTTCATTTACTTTGCCCGAAAAACATAAATCTGATTTGTGGATCATTGAAAATATGAATGACGGATTGGTTTATACTATTAATCAAGACATACAAGCATGTTACAAATCACCATTGCTCATGAAACCCATTCATTGTATACCAGGTAGTTTTAGATTAATTTTTTTTTAAATACCGATTTCATTCTGTCTAATATTCTAATTATGCTATCATTTATCACCAGACAATGCTTCTTATATACATTCATTCACATATGGTTACGGTGATAAACAAATTATCGGTGATACGTGGCTTGTCGAAGTCGAAGGATCAGCTAATTATGTCACGGTGAGCCGCGATGGTCTCTGTGTTCCATTAACGGGCGATCTTTTTCTGTCAAATCCATGTAAGAAATAGATCAATGGATAAATGTTGACAAATTTTCTCATTGTGTATTTTAGCTGGAGTGAATTCTCTTACCACAACGGATTTCGTTCCACGTATTGACGATCCAAGTGTGTTTGATATTCCAGATATTTGCCGATCTGTTGTTTAGTTTTTGAAAAGCGTTCCATTTAAGAGGAAATATACCCAAAATGATCTACTTCGTTTACCTTCATATTTGCTTACATATAGAAAACCTCTAGAGTCTTTCGGTTCATGCTTACATTCTTTCTAAATAGTGAATTTTTAGTAGGTTTCTCCTATATTGAAAACTGTGTTCTTGCAGGTGGAAATCAAGTGCGAAGTTACTAACACGAATAAATATAAGCATGAGCAGAAAGCTTTTGGAGATTACGGCACTGTAGTGATCACCAGTATATTGGCAAAACATGAGTGTAAATGGAGCAGACAACTTGAGAATGTTTCTTCGTTAGTGAAAAAGTGATAGTCAATTTCTTCTTCTTCTTATGGATTTGATTAATAAATTCAGCCATCATATTGAACTATGATTAACAATGGAGCTCATCTGTAGTAGATAGACTACTGACGCATGTTGACTTTCGTGATGATCATTAAGCTTATGGTCGAATCCAGCGAGAATTCTTTTTTTGACATTTCGCATTAAATGACATTGTTCGCTGATGTACATGCTTTATGTAGTCTTTGAAGGCTCATATGTCCGATTATCTGAAGCATAGCAATTGCAAACTTGCACTGTGACCTCAGTAGTTGTCATTACAAAACAAATGATTTCAATCTGAAAACAATATTGCCTATCAGGCAACAGAACAGCATGGGCGTGGGTATGGATTTTTTTGGCCGTTCACACTCTTTTGCAAGATTAAGCGAAGAGATAAAACGAAAAAAAGGAAAAAAACTATTGAAAAATATCGTGGGTAAAAAAAAAAACCTTGTCCATATGATTGTTCTGCTCTGTAATGCCCTGCAATAGTGCACATATATGTCACCGTAGCTGAAATTTAGCGGAATATGACTAAATACGCACAATTTTATTCCTTTCTGCTCATACACAGCCCGGTATCAAATGGTGAAATCATTTGAATTGCTAATGAAGTTTTATCAGGCGATGAATTGCTGACTTATTTTAGATTTTCAATCCGCTGACCTTCAGAGAAGCTTATGTTAATTCACAAGCTTTTATGTTGACAACTGAATATTTACTATCCATTTCAAAATCAAACAGGGTGGGTTTTATTTCAATAACTATTGATGGAAACTGCATAGAGCGCTGAATCTGAGTAAATTCGAGTCTGAGTCTGCATTCTTTTTTTCTCGTATATCTATACTTTCATTATATTCAATTAAGTCTATTTTTTATAGTTAAAAGATAATGTCTACCCTATTGTTTTACTACTTATATCGATACAGTATGATTGTAGAAAAATAAAAATTAGACATTGACAGTTCATGTATTTTGTTATAAGAAATAATAAAAAATCTCGAAAATATTTCTATTATGAATAGTGGAGATGATAATGCTCCTGTAAAAGTTTTTGTAGATGAACCTAGCGAAAGGCAAACAAAGAGTAAATTCTATTCAATTTTACTAATGTGATCATGTGTAAACATGGTAGACACTAAAGACTACATAAGAAAAAACAAAATATTGTAATATGCGATCAATATTTATTTTATTGTACAATTTATCTGAATTCTTTCGATATTGATTGATTACAATAGGAGTGAATATAATAATTTTATCATTATGAGTGTTTTCTAATGGTAACTGAATAGAAAAGTTTATATTCCACAAGATATTTAAAAAAAATAATAATATTGATTAACATTATAAATTGTTTTGTTAGACGAGAGAAAATTTTTATATTGTTGACGATAATCTGTAAGAAATAGAAAATAAGATAAAACAAGTATCAAGTTAAACAATTAGTGAGTTACAAAAAAAAGCAGTAAATTTTTACTTACATTTTTTTTTATTATCTATTATGTCTGTAAAACGACGTTATTACTTAATCAAAATAAAAACAATCATATAACTGTGATGTTAGGTGTGAGTGTGGGTATGGGTGTATCTTTCCTTCACATAAACACCCACATCCACCTCGTACCATTGTCGAATTCAATCAAAATGTGATGTATTTAATTGAATCCCGGTTGATTTTAGGTCAGAAAATCAATTTTGATCTGATTTTTTTGTACATGAGTTAATCTAAATTGCAATCGAGGGTCTCTAATAACATATACTGTATGAAAAAAAAGTGGGTGTGGTGTGTGTGGGTGTTAGAGTGGGTGTGTGGGTGTGGGTGGATGTGGGTGTGGGTGTGGGTATGGGTGTGGATGTGGCCAGTGAACAGAAAAGTTACACCCACACCCAGTACTATATCCATTTTCACTCATCAACAACGATAATAATACATTTGTTGTAATCCAATTTGAATAGATGGTATTTGTTTCATAATAATATGATTCAAAATTTTCATCATTGTCTGTATCTAAGAAGGTACCAAAATTATTATCAAATCATGAATAAGTACAGTTTAATATTTCTGTTGTTTCTATTGAACATTGGTTTTCGATAATCGGATAAAACGATGTTGCTACCCAACTATTTAATTACATATGAACACCAATATAACCACCACTATCTAAAAAACAATCTGATTGTATATGATTTGCTGATGGTTTCGAATACTTATTTTTATACATTATTTTCATCGGTTACAAATAAAATTGGATGTTTTATTCTCGTCGAACCATGAAGACATCCATGATAAAGTCCATCCATCGTTACCTGTTGATGTGAAAAAAGGAACCGAGATGTGAGTTGATTTTTGATATAACATTTTAAAATATCGATCTTTTTTTTTATAAAGAGGGATATCTTCTAAGTGTTTTTTTTAAATATTTCCATTTTGACAATATTTGAGAAAAAATTGTTTTACCATTACGAACAATGTAATAGTGTCAAGCCACGATATGGATAATTTTGACAAATAGTCAAGGGGAAAACGGCAGACTTGAAGTACATCAAAGTACTTTAAAATTATATGAGAGTACTTTGAAAAACACTTCAAAATTACAAAAGAGTACTTTAAAATTACAGAAAAGTACTTTAAAGTAGCTCGAAGTGCGTTTAAGTAGTGTAAATTACCTTCAAGTACAAAGTCTGCCGTTTCCCCCTTGCAAATAGTATAAACCTATTCAGGTTGACATAATACACCAGCTGATGATTCTTCATTCATTTGACGGTAAATAACATATGCTAATTTTGTTGTAGTAGAATGTATTTTAGTTATTGGATATCCATCTTTATCCCATATGAAATAGAATCCATAAAGATCGTATGTAAAATCACGTGAAATGCTTTTATAAAGTGTTAATGATTGTAATAAATGACCACTATACATTATGTTTTCAAAGCAAACAGGATCAGGAAATGTTGGTGAATTTTTCCAATAATAGTCAATATATCCTCATACTTTGATTGGCAGCATACATTTAATTGAATCTTACAATATGTTTATTGCTAATTCACGATAATTTGGTGTTCTATAAGCTAATACCACTGTTGTATAACCAATATGAGCTAAAGTATATCGAATAGAATCTAAATCAAATTGAGGACCATCAAAGTTATTTTTTCAACAATTCCATGTTATATTGTTTGTTGTTGCTTGCATATAGGTTAAATACGAAATGAATCGAATTAGTGTCAATTCTTTTTCTGATAACAGCTGATTTAGATCATC